CTACGGAAATGTAATACGTATAAAAGGGATCTAGTTTCGGTTGAAATTCAATATATGAAAATGATAATAATGTACGGACGTTGAATTTAATCGAGCTATTCACCTTTGCGGTTTACCCTTATAGGACATAGACTACCGACAGGCAATCAGCGACCCACTCTGTCTTCCATTCTCCTTTCCAGATGTTTCCGGGTTCTATTCATTCTTAACATCGATTGCTACAACTCCCAGAGCAATTTATTCTATGATCTGCCTCTTCTCCTCAAGCATTAAGGATTCGAATATACTGTACTTCTTGATATAAACAGAATCTTGCCTTTTCCTAACACCGGGCATTTCAGTGGTAAGATATAGTGACGCGCGCTATCTAAAAAGGACAGTGGTATTGTTTCTCGTTATATTAGTAAACTGATTTGATCGTAAATTACGTATCAAAACTACGATTTACACTTTAATTGAATCTACTCCAGTTAAGGTGATATTTTACTGAGTTTTTTTTGGCTTTTGTGTATTTATTACACTCGGAAGCATTCTTGGTCGTTATCAAAGTACTTTAGTTAAGGTTTGACATCTTGCTAGAGTTGTCTTGTGGTTCATACTGTGATCATATTGGTGTTACACCTTGATCATACTATAATGGTTGGTAGTACCCACAAATGTGGACAACCAAACTGCTTGTTCCCTGTGGAGGAGGGAATGCAGTGTGACGAATGCAATAAATGGTTCCACAAAATGTGCACCCGTTTAAGTCCCACTGCATATAAAAGATGTTCGAAGCCTAACTCACATTGGCTTTGCATGTTTTGCTGTGCCAATAAGGCATTGCTAATACAGGAGGCTATGAGCCTATTGGCTTTGGCCTGTAAGAAGAATGATGGCATATGTGCCGACAACACGGGCACTGACAGTGACGAATGTGTCAGTGTTGTTACGCAACGCCTCAAAAAACCGACTCTGAACGACGCAAAAGTGAAATCTCCGTTGATATTACCAGGGGGAGTAGTACCACCTAGTACTGACATTGTTAATCATGCACCTTTAGTGAGAACCGACGATCTGGATAAAACAGTCACCGTTCCAAATAGTCCCAGTGTTACTAGGGATGAAAAATGGACTACGGTACGTAGAAAATGAAATGAAAAGAAAAAAGCTGTAAGCAGTACACAGGTAGTTAGTAACTCAATGGTGGACTCAAATTGTGAGCCACAAGTTGCACTACCAAGATCTGATCGTAAGAGTGAAATCCATCCTGGCGTAACTGAGAAGAAAAATTTAATAACGTCGAATATTATGGTGAGCAATTTGCGGGAGTCAAATGACCCTGATCCGAAAATTAGACACGCGCATGACTTAGAAAAACTAGGAGAATACATTCGTAGTATTTTACCAGATAACTCCAAAGGAGTTCAGGTTAAAAAGTTAGTAAGAATAGGCAAGAGGACCGAGGACAATGTTGAACCCCGTCCATGCAGACTCCTTAAGGTAATCCTAGGATCGGAGAAGCAACGGGATCTCTTGTTAAGTAGCGCTCGTTGTCACGACAATTCTGACATCCGAGTTAGACCTGATATATCTCTCGAAGATAGAATAAAAAGGAAGAAAGCACTAGCTGAACTTGAAACCCGTCGGCAAAACGGCGAGGAAAATCTCCGGTTAGTGGGTTTTCGGATAGTCAGGTCTTGGAAGCGAATGCTACCAAGGCCTGTGTGGATAAGCTGTTCTACTTAGGAGTTTTATATGCCAACGCTCGTAGTCTACGAAATAAGTTCTATGAACTAGAAGCACTAGTGTACAGGGTAAAGCCACTCATAGTAGCAGTGACAGAAACTTGGTTAGTCGATGACTTAGACATTACTCCAGAATTATCCGGATATCACTGCATCAGGAGTGACAGACATAGATGTAGGAAAGGAGGCGGCGTCCTGTTATACATAGCTAATAGCATAAATATCCGCTCCTCTACTAGAGATTCCCATGATAGCGGTACTTGTGAAGTCATTAGCTGTAAGTTGGCTATCGGATGTAGTACATTTATGCTCGGTGTCATCTATCGCAGCCCAATCTGCCTAGCTGATGACTTTGTTTTAGAGCACATTCATCTTTGGAGTGAAAATACCAGATGTTTGATAATAGGAGACTTTAACGCACCTGATATTAGTTGGACTGATATGACCACAGCAGGATCTATAAACTCCTTTGATAGTAAGTTCCTGATAACAATAATGGAGCATGCACTAGTACAGCATGTATCCCAACCCACACGTTTTGGTGTTAACCAGGGTTCTTCTCTGCTGGATTTGGTAATCACTCATGAGACTGAGGATATTGTCGACTTCAATATTCTCCCGCCGTTAGTGAACAGCGACCACGCTGTTTTGTCATTCACGTTTCGTACTAGGGACATGTTATACGATCAGGTTACACCTCGCCCAAATGTATGGAAAGCTAACATATCAGCCATTCAGGAATGTGCTGCTAAGACAAATTGGTTAGTAGATACTAGCATATCAGTTGAAGAAGCATGGTCTGTATTTAAGGGTAAATTTAGACTAGTTACGTCCCCGTTCATACCATACCTGGTACCGCGAAGACCGAATAATAGTCCACCATGGATAACTAAAACGGTCAGGAAACTCCTTAGAAAAAGGAAGAATCACTGGAATATGTTCATCTCTACTGGCTTAGAACAATACAGATCCAGTTATTGTAAGATTAGGAATGCCTGTAAAGCGTTAATAAGTAAGACTAGGCTATCATACGAAAAACAATTGGTTAGGGATTCTAGATATAGTCCGAAACGGTTATTCTCGTATATAAAAAGGCGAACTAAGAGAAGTGATGGAATTCCATCACTTTTGATACGAGAAAATCCGTTAATCTTAGCAGACAATGATGCCGAAAAAGCTGAAGCATTATCGGAATACTTTAGTAAAGTGTTTTCTATCGGTAATGAGGAACGACCAATGATTCGTTGCGACCGTGACGGCTCGCTGATGGATCCTGTAGTCATTGAGAAAGATACTGTTTTAAGGCTACTCCAGCATCTCAAACCTGATAAGTCCAGTGGTCCTGACGATATTCATCCTAGGATTATGAAAGCCATTTCACATGAAATTGCTGAACCATTAGCGATACTATTCGACATGTCTCTGAGACAGTCCAAACTGCCTAGAGACTGGAAAGACGCCATAATAAGTCCGGTGTATAAGGCTGGGGGTAGGGATTTAGTTAGTAACTATAGACCCGTTAGCTTAACTAGTGCAGTTGTAAAACTGATGGAGAAAATCATTCGGATAGCTGTTATAAACTATGTTGAAGGGCAAAATCTTTTCTCCAGGGAACAACATGGTTTTCGGAAAGGCCTATCTTGCTTGACAAATCTTCTCATTGCACGAGAAGATTGGGCTGCGGCAAAGGATCGGAATGCTCCTGTGGATGTGATTTTCATAGATCTAAGTAAAGCCTTTGATAAGGTTTCCCACTCTGGTCTTAAATTCAAACTGAAACGTTTTGGAATCCATTATACAGTCGTCGATTGGATAAGTAACTTTCTCCATGACAGGAGACAAAGAGTAAGGGTTAATGGGACTCTCTCCTCGTGGGTACCTGTAAAAAGTGGGGTTCCCCAAGGTACAATCCTGGGTCCTCTTCTCTTTTTACTTTATGTAAATGAATTGCCAACTGTAGCAAAATCATCCGTCCTACTCTTCGCTGATGACATAAAGATTTGGAGACCCATACATAGTATGTCGGATAGGATAGTATTACAGGACGATCTTAGCTCATTGGTGGCATGGTTAGATAGGTGGTCACTAGAAGTAAATCCTAATAAGAGTGTAGTGATGCAATTAAATAACTCTGATGAATCGTATGACTATACACTACGTGGATTCGTGCTACCAAAAGTAAGAAACTATAAAGATTTAGGAGTCATATTAAGCAATGATCTCAAAACGACTAGTCACTGTAAGGCTGCTGCTGCGAAAGGCCATAGGGTATTATGGTCAATTCGTAGGTCTTTCCAGTATTTAGATGATGAAATGTTTAGATTACTATACCCGATTTATGTGCGACCACATTTAGAATACGGGATTCAAGCAGCGTGTCCTTGTTTCAAATATGAAGCAGATATGCTAGAAAGAGTCCAACGACGAGCTACTAAGATGGTACAAGGTCTATCTGACCTATCTTATGAAGACAGACTGAGACACCTTAACTTATTTCCGTTATCTTACCGTAGAATAAGGGGTGATCTAATATTGGCCTATCGTATACTGAACGATGACCTTGGTATTAACATGTCTTATCTTTTGCTCCCGTCTAGAACCGACCATTTGAGAGGACATTCGAAGAAAGTTCAAAAACCGAGATCAAACCGTTTACGTCTGGAGTTCCGTTTCTCGCACCGAGTAGTGAATTACTGGAATTCTCTACCGGAACACGTAATATCAGCACCATCTGTTAATATATTCAAAACGAGATTGGACCTCCACTGTATTACAAACTGCAAGGATTAATATAGGTCGACAGACCTCCTATCCTTATTACTGAAGACTGAAGACTGACAGGTACACTAATTACCCTCAAATAACTGCAACATCACAGTTATCGCCACTAAAAAGGACACTATATTACACCCTAGATACATCTCAACATGTTATTCTGAAAGTCAGAAAGCATACAACACCACAGAGCAAATACCTTGGCATTTGAAGCGAACCTGTGACATCAACTGATTAGTTTACATTTTTAACTTCTGCTTCCGTTATTCGTCACCCACTTGAGTGATACAAACAGTAATTTTGGAATTCCTAAAGACTAAACTTTATGTTTTGTGAAGTATATCACTTGCCTCGCATGATAATTTACGAAACATCTATCTACATATCAAAGCTTTTCTCTGTGTATTTTAGTATCTACCTAAAGGCTTAGTCTACGACAAACCAATTTTTCAATTTAGACATTGGATACTGAAAACGCGCGTTCATTTAAGTATTAACATGAGTAACTGTGATGAACACATTAAAAACCTGCGTGAACAAATAGATTCTCCATGCAACAAAATCTGTGCTGACTGCCATCATACTGTAACTAAATACGCCTCTTTATCTTATGGAGTTTTTCTTTGTGAACTATGTGGTGGTGAGTCTCATTGAATGTAATTGGTGGTAATTTATCATTATTCTGTCTAGTTTCGCATCAAACACTGAATGGAAACATAAAACGGATTTCTACAGATGAAGAAAATAGTCTCATTTGGTCAGATGATAGTGTGTCGCGTCTGAAGAAGTTTGGAGGGAACAAAGCTATTAACCAAAATCTAGAAGCATCACTACCAGTGTATTTCCGTCGTCCATGGCCCGGTGTTGAATGTCCTATTTTTTTAAGAGAGGCGTTCATAAAATCAAAATATATTCATGAAGAGTTTACCAGCGATGCTATAGCAAGAGGGGCTCAAAGTCAATTTGCGTGTTCTTTTAAGTCAGGTGTACTATTGAAAAAGTTGCGTGACTCCACTACATTTTGTGAGCGCTTTTTTGAACTGTCCGTTGAAGGCAATTATTTCCGTTATTACATTAAACCGTCCGACTCACAACCTAAACAATCACTGGATCTAGAAAGACTTAATTTTACATTCATCCCATCTAAGGATTATGGTCTCCCACCACATACTGCACTCATTCAGTTCGTTCAAGACTGCTCAACAAGACACATGTTTATACGATCCGAAGATAGTAGAACCATAATCAATTGGTACAATGCAATACGTTTAGGCAAGTATCACCGTCTATGCCTTGGTCTCAGTGGTATGGGTGTAACACTGTCACCATCTGAACTGAGTAAAAGGCTAACTAGAGACGTAGATATGGCTGGTTGGCTCTCTAAAACGGGACCACGCAAGAACGATGCCTGGCGTCGCCGGTGGTGCATGATTTTGAATCGTCATTTCTTATATACCGATAACCCATTAAGCCCATTCGCCAAAGGAGAGTTATTTATTGGTTCCAACAAAGAAGGCTACTCTGTAACAAATACCACTCCCGATGGTTGGAACCGTCATAATGGGTACCCATTAACTATTCACACGTCAACACGTCCTTTCGTATTTGTTGCTGACAAAAAAGAAGAACAGGAAAAATGGTTAGAAATTATTCAAAGGATTATGAATATACCACTGACACTTGCAGAACACAAACAGGCAGCTATGGTGACTAAAAAGCGTACTAATGCGTTAGACTTCCTCAAAACTTCTTAAATTTCCCGGTGGTTCCTTGTCTGTTAGCATATTAACTAATTAGCTACCGTCATGGAAAATTCTCCAAGTCAAATACAATACCCAAAATATATTTTATTAGCCTATGTAAATAACCACATGCATCCTACAAAAGTTTCAAATCCATTTTGTTTATGTACTGTTATGGCCTCGTTCAAAACCTCTTGCCTTCTTCACAGATTATCTATTCTGTTACGAAAGTTATATATGCATATCATCTCAATCATGTATAACATTAAATAACGTAGGATTTAAATGTCTGAATTGTTTATTAAATTAGAAAAACAGTTATTCTTCATTTTGGCACTTGTAACATAGCTTATGGGATGGATTTCTTACTTGTCTTTTACATCTTCTATTTGCATTTTGTGTGATCTTAATTCTGTTTCCAAATTTATTTTATGTAACACTGCTGGCAAATAAATTTCTTTCCTTCCAAACCAAAACGGTCATTTGTGGCTTATTTCTGCAAACAAGAGGTTGTTAACCCATAGACATGTATGACCCTCTTTATCAATGTAAAACTTAGAATCCGCAATCGAATGCGACGTTTTAAGGACTTACATAAATTATCATTCGGTTGACTTTTGGAAGATTTAAAATAATCTTTTTGTGGGTGAGGAATGGAAGACCAGGCTATCTAATTAAGTATTTATGAGAGCTGGAAATGGGTTGTCGCCGATGCTTAAATTTTTTATTATCAAAACAAACCATATCACCGTGAGGAGTGCTAGTATCTGGAAACTCACAAATATTAATAATAGGGAATAAACGATAATTAAGAGGTTTTTTATAAGTATTATTGCAGGAATTAACCCACAGTTGTCGAGGTACAACGGAATTATATTCATTTAACAACTACATTATGTCCGACTAAAACCGGTCCGAAGCAAAAGTAATGACTAAAACTATAGTATATCATAATGTTGTTCTTTAACTTACAGTCCAGCATATATATTTCTCTAAACATCTTGTAATAAAAACTCACCAAAACGGTATGAGGCATAGAAGCAGACTTTAAGAATAAGCATATATCGAACCGTACAATTTAACTGTCGATGACTGCTACATAATGTTTCCTCCAAGTTATACAAAACTGAGGGCTTTATATTTATTGGTACATTGTTTTAAAACTTTATACCGTTGTGTTGCTACCTTGACGTGGTGGTCTGGCTTGCATATCGTGATGAACCAGTCGAGCTATACTGGCTGGAACAATCGTTCTTCAGGGTCCCAACATGCCAGACAGGTCGGTTGAAGGGCGGTAAAACTAAAAGGTCCGAAGGCGAAGTCGTGCTGCTGATTGCACAGACGCGTGACGTCAATAAGGTGTTTTCTTCAGACAACAAGCATAGAAGGGATGCTGCCTTTCGACAAGAAGGGGTGGGGTTAGAAAAGATCGACCCTAAAAATTGCCATCTTGCCTTATCCAACGGATATCCGTCTCCGGTGATAAGGTCTCAACAAGTACGGAGCTAACACAAAACCTTCCTACAAAAAGATCGTGTGTGATTGGCCTCAAGCAGTTGTCCCTTAGGCATTGCGATCACGATCTCAGGTCACTTATACCATCGTTAATCCAATTTTCTTTTAGGTACCACCGGAAGAACCCTTCTACAGTGTGGGCAACTGGGGAGTGATAACCACCCTCATACTTCTAACAGCACTCAAGAAGATTTTCCCTTGACCTTCACCCGCCACTTCCACCACTCTTTTTTAACAGAACAATAGTAGGTGGATCATCTAGAAAATGTTCAGATATTTACATATCTTGGCATATGCATCGTTTTTCTAATCTGATCTTTGAATTTTGTCGTTTTTTCTAAGAGTGGTGATGCCACTTCTTTACTTCGTACAAATTATATGTTACTTGTTTACATTACAGCCATACATTTGTAGTCAATTCAAGAAGAGACTACAAAAGACTTCCAAACTAGTCTTCTTCACTTAAGCAAAAGCACTCTGTCACTCGATGTAAAAGCCTTGTATTTCTGTATCAAAGTATGAAAATATTCTTCGAGATTACTTCTCTTAATTATATAAGTATTGTTTGCTTACATGATTGACAAACAAATAAGGCTAAAAAAGTGAAACTTTTGACTATAAAAATATGTACTTCGTCGCTAAATGAATAGCATTCTCCAAAAAAATCAAAACTCGTCCCATTATCTTGAAGAAAAAGACAAATTCTAATCGTATTTCTCTCTCAAAGGATACTTAGAGAACCTCCCGATTTACGAAGCGAATTGGATGAAAAACACAAGCGATTGTAAAAGTAAGATTTGCATAAATCAGCATAATTAGCGATAAATATGTACTTAAGATGGTATTGTAGTTAATGACATGGTAAACGATAACAACATAAAAATTTTTACATTGAGCCGTGTTCTGCTTCTCAACTCTTCCGAAAACTGTGAAGTCGATTCAAACCTAACTAACGACAAATAAGAAACAAGCCTCCAAGCAAATTTCTAAATTTTGACGAGACTTTGGAAGAAAAATCTTTGTCTCTCAACAGGCTAATTGCCTATTTCACTCAATTAAAGATAAAATAGCGACAATTAAGCCTTTGTGTTTTAAACGGGTAGTATTGTCAATCTTTGATACACTGATTTCAGCTAATGGTAACTGCTGATCATCAGCTGTGAAATCCCTCTTGTCTTCGAAGCCCTCGTTGCGAGCTTTCTTCTAGAAAAATGGCAGTTACCAACAATTGACAAACCTTTTGAAGCAAACTGCTGTTTTCATCAAGAATTCTGTTTGGATATCACATTTCAAATGCTAATCAAGAACACACAACCAAAAAGATATTTTGGGCTTGAGACTTATAAGGTATTGGAATTTTAATTGGGCCTAGCCAACAAATATTTAGTGCCAAACTAATAGGCTAAATAAACTAATACGGTGGACCACATTACACCATCAGTGAATATTGTAAATCTCTAAGTCATTAAGCAGAGAATACCTCACATAGGTGACTTATTGGCTACTAGTGGTAAACAAATCTTTTTTAGAGTGAACTACTGTCCTCAGTTTGAGCGGAGTAAGAGGCTAGCTGGTCTGTGTTTCAGCAATGGGGGTCTCTCAGTTTATCTCACGTTCATTTGAACGCGTCGATAGATGGCCCTTCAACAACGTATTAAGGTAGGGAGTTCCACTTATCGGTTATCGAATAAGAAAGCTGATAGTCAGCCGAAAAGCATTTGGTACTGGGCTCGTGAACTGTTTAGGAATGTCCTCATAAATTCTCTGTTTTTAAAGGCAAAAACTTTATCCATGAGAAAAATCTTGTAGTTTTGCTTATCAAGTTCTGTTTACCTTCACTAGAAGATTATTGCTCAGATAAGGCAAAATAATATACTTACCTCCAGAATGGTCACTTTGTGAGACCTTAAGTGAACAAATGTCCGGAAAAGTTGAAGGGTGATGTTCATCTTATTAGGAACAAATATGTAGTTGTAAAACGATGGTTCCAGTTTGAAATAGCGCTCTTCATTTTATTGTCCTATTTTCAGTTTAGTTAACTTACCACAGAGTAGAGAATTCAATAATTTTAACGTTTACCAATTACTGCGTAAGTAGCTAGTATAGAAATAATGATAAGTATTAAGAGAGATTGAATCTTTATTCATACAAATTTGAGAGTAGAGATAAAATTAAAGGACCAACATAATGCTAATAATTCCGGTATCGACAAAATGAAACTCAAATTCACCAATTCGAATGGTTAGCTTTGCTAAAAGTTCAAATTTAAAATATGAGGTGCAAAAAATAAGAGTCCTAATCACTAAAGACTGTAATAATGTCCCAGTTTATTAGTTTCAAGTTAGACAGTAGGTAGACAATAACGAATGTTTGATGTAATCCATCAAAGTAGGTAGTAGCTGAGTGTGTGTAAACTGGTATCGACCAAATAACTAACCATTTTACCATATCTACCAGCTTCTATCCTCAGCATGAACAATGATTAAAAAACATCTATGACAAATATAGACAACTAACTCCTGTAATTTAATTTCGAATATCATGCTTCTCTAACACAAAGTACAGTAAGGTAGATTAAAGTGCAATGCACACTAAATTAGATAGAAAGATGGATATCGCACCCATGTCATAAGTGTTATAAGATAACAAAACCCACTTGTGCCGTGCTAGTATGAACAAAATAAATATTCAATGTCCTGGTATTTGAGTAATTTTTGATGATTTTCATGTCTTTGAAATAATCCATATCTGATTATTTTTGTTTTCAAGGTCCTACTCTTCTCAACTTCAGTGCTAGTTTATATAGGGTGATTAAAGTTTCTATGAGCGATAATCAATCCAGTTAAGTTTTCTACTTTAAAGTGTTACTACATGATTTCTGCTGAAATGTTGACATCAGTGTTCTCTTTTATTGTTTTAAATTTGTGTACTTAATTTTCTTAGTTTCTGATATATTCAGCCATAGTCTACAAACTGAGACGATCAATAACCAAGATTATTTGGAATGAACAACTTGCAGATCCTTGAAACTACTTAGTACGTTACAGAAATATCATTTCAAAATACCTCCATCCACCCAGCATTAAAGCACGGTGTACAAGATATAAAGTCACTTAGACTAATCGCCAAATTGCGAATTAATCAGTGGAATTCACTCGACACTAATGGCCACTACTCAATTATCAGTCAGTGTAAATATCTCAGTCCTCTTCGAAGTTATTCTCACCCCTAATAGCTCAACAACAAGTTCCATAACTGTGAAAGTGGACGAATTGGGTTCGGTTGGTACAGTGATTGAAGTCCCCTGAAGACTATATGAACGCTTTTTTAACAAGTGTTACCTTGTATGATACTTAAGTTCAAAATCTACTCCCTGATTATTCCTATCCATCTAACATTTTTATTTCTTTCCAAGGACGAACTTCTATTACATCTCAAAAGTTTCTGTCTTCTGAAGATAATATAAACTGGGAGAATAACAGAAATCAAGTTGTTCG